GCCAGCTCCTCGGCCTCCAGCTCCAAGATGTGCTCGTCGGCCCGCGCGAGCTCGCGCTGCTGGATCAAGCTCAGGATCTCCAGCACTGTGGGCACAAAGAGGGAGATCAGGGGCAGGAAAACGACGCGGGGAAGGGGTTGTGGAGAATGAGAAGGGGTAGGAGGTGAGGATAAGAGGGTTAGGGGAGGGGGAAAGGGGTGGGGCCGAGAGAGGAGTCGGGGCGTTTCGGAAGGGGAAGAGAGATGGGTGTCAGATGAGGGGTCGGGGGCTGGGGGTGGGGAGGGGAGGAGAGAGGTAGTTGAGGGGTGGTTGGGGAGAAGGAGGGTGGGCAAATCTGCGCTGGAGAAGGACGTCAAGGGAGGAGGGTGAGGAGAACCGAGAGAAAGACGGGAGGGGTCGGGACTTGGGGAGGGAGGATGGGGGAGGGGCAGAGGAGGGAGCAAGGGAGAGAGTCGGGACATGGGGGAGGAGACTGGAGAGGGTTAGGGAAGGGAAGGGGTTTGGTGATGGAAGAGAGAGTCTGGATATGGGAAGCAGGTCAAAAGACTGGAGGGGTCTGATTAGGGAAAGGATGGTGAGGGGAGTACGAAGGGGGCAAGGGGTTGAAGAAGGAGAGGGTTAGGGCTTCGGATCAGGGGTCAGGGCATGGGAGAGGGTATCAGGGAGTGGGTTAGGATATGAGTAGGAGTCAGAGGAGTTGAGGGCGGATAGGATAAAAAAAGTGCAACAGGGCCAAAGAAAGGCATCAGAGGAGGTCCAATGGCCAAGGGAGGACAGTCTGAGCCGGGTAAGGAGGGAGAGGGATGGAGAACCAGTGGACTGGTGGGCAGAGTCGGGGTTTGGAGGTGGGAAGAGGATATGAAGACGAGAGATGGGTCTTTTGTGGGTGGGGACAGCTGTAGGGGTGATCTGGCTCTCTGATGATTCACATTCTGCCAAGAGAGGAGAGTCATGGGATTGGGAGGCCTCTGAGTGAAGGCAGAGGGAGGGTCCCAGTGGCCCAGGGTTACCCCTCAACACCTCCACCCCCCTCCACTTCCTCCCTGGCAGAGAAACTATTTCCTGGCCAGTGCTATTTCTGCCCATCCGTTTCCAGAAGGCGGGGGCTCCAGTCACCCCCTTCTCACCTCCCTGCGGTGCCCTCCCAGTCCCTCGGGAGCAAGGGCTGAAATAGTCTCTAGCCAGGATGTGGAGGGCATCAGAGGACGAAGAAAGGGCTCTCCAGTGCTGGGGCAGCAAGGGATGTCCATTGGGGGAGGGCTAGGGAGGGGGGTGGGGTGGGGGAAATAGTGGCAGGGTTGGGAGTGGGGCTGAATGAAGGCAGCGGTTGGGACAGGGTTGGGAATGTGGATGGAGTTTCAGGGATGGGGCTGGAGATGAGGATGGGGATGAAGGTGGGGGTTGGGGTGAGGGAGTTTAGGATTAGGGTGAGGTGGGGGGTGAAATCTGAAGAGGGAGGTGGGAAAGGAATTGAGGATGGCATCTGGGGTTTCAGGGTAAGGGTGGAGGTGGAGATGAGTTTAGGTGAATGTTGAGGATGAAAGAAGGTAGAGATGGATGCAAGTCTGAAGAAATTTGGACATGAGTTGAGGTTAGAAATGTAGACAGAGTTGAAGTTGGAGGTTGAACATGGAGGGGTTAGGATTGGGACTTGGGGTGGGGTGGAGATGGGATTAAGAGTGAAGGATGAGGTTGAGTTTGGGGTTAAAGTTGAAAATGAGGGCTGGGAGGGACTAGGAATGGGATTAGGACTGAAGAAGGAAGTTGGGAAGGGAAACGGGGTTGAAGGTGGATGCTGAGATCCTGGGGTCGGGGTTAGGAGTGAGACTGAAGGGGGAAAAGGTTGAAGTTACGCACGGGGATGGAATTGAGGATGAAATGAGAGTAGAGGAATGGGCCGTGGCATGGGTCTGGACCAGTTGGCTGTTGTCATGGTATTGGGTGTTAAGGGTGAGGTTAAAGATGGCCTTTGGAGAAAGGGATAGTTGGGAATAAGCATGTGGATGTGTCTCAAGGTGGAGATTACTGATGGGGTTGAAAGAAGTATGGGTGGAAACCAAAAAGGCACTGAGGAATACATTGGGTTTTGGGGTAGTATTGGGGCTGAGGATACAACTCAGGTGGCATTATGAGTTGAACTGTGTTTATTGCCCCCAAAGAAAAAACATATGTACAGTCCTAACCCCCAGGACCTCAGAATGGGATCTTATTTGGAAATAGGTTCTTTAAAGAAGTAATCAAGTTACAATGAGGTCATAGAGTGGGGCCCTGATTTTGTATGACTGGTGCCCTTATAAGAAGGGAAACTTGGACGCTAAAATAGACACACACAGTGGAGAAGATGATGTGAAAACAGAGAAAAAGCCAAGTGAGGATGGGAGATTGGGGTGACGCGGCTACAAGCCAAGGACACCAAGGATGACCAGCAAAGCACCAGAAGCTGGAAGAGGCAAGGAAAGAGTCCGCTACAGATTTCAGAGGGGCCATGGCCCTGCCGACCCCTTGATTGCAGACCTCTTGGACTGCAACAGAATAAATGTTTATAGTTTCAAGTCACCCAGTTTGTGGTACTAACAGGAAACTCACACAGTTGGTGGTAGATTTGAGGGGATGTAGTTGAGAGACGAAGGTAGACATTGGGCATGGAGGTGAGTTTGAAGATGAAGTTTGGATGTAAGTTGAAGGAAGGATAAAGTTGAGGGTGGAGGCAGGGGCTAGGGGGTTAGGATTGGGATAGAGTTGGGGTTCAGAGTGAGGTGGGAGAGGAGAAGAGATGGGGGATGAAGGAGGAGGCTGAGGTGGGGGTTGGAGTTTGAGGCCATGGCTGGGGCTAAGGATGCCAATGAGGTGGAGTGTTAGAGGTTAGGGAGGGACAAGGGGCAAGGTCAAGGACAAATGTGGATACTTTGAAAGGAGATGAGGTTGAGGTTGAATTTGAGGGTAGCAAGGGAGAGAGGTTGAAATTGGGGATGGAAGGGGGATTGGAGGAGATGAGACTGAAGTTGGTGATTCAGTGGTGGTTGGACAAGGGGGTGAGGTTGAAGATGGCAGGTGGAGAGAGGGACAGATTGAGGATGAGGGTGGAGATAGGGCTGAAGCTGGAACTTGGCGAGGGGGATTAGGACTGCAGAGGGGATGGGGTGGCCGTGTACATGGAGGTGGGCAGATGGAAGTTGCGGGTGTAAATGGAGATGGGGTCACAGGTGGAGACACGGTGATTCTCCCAGGTCTGGGCCAGGACTCCCAACTCACCTGACAATGGCTCCTTCACCTTTGGGGGCTCCGGGACCTTGGGGGGGGGCTCGGGGGCCGCCTCGCCTGCAGGCACCACCCGCTCTGCCAGTGACACCCGCTGGGGCTTGGGCCCACGCCCCAGTCTCAGGAAGGCCAGTCTCCGAGCAGCCTCCCCAGCTGCCTCCTCATCGCCGTGGGCTCGGATCCCCTGAAGCCTGGCCAGGAGGCCAAAATCTGCCGAGCTCCTGCGTATCCCAGGTGTCAGCACACGGCCCAGGAAAGAGCGAGGCTGCTCGTCCCCGGGGCTGCCCGCCCGCCGGCCAGGGGTTCTGCCCAGCCGGAAGGGGGCCAGGCCTGCCAGCTTCTCCAGGGTGGCACGGCGGCGACAAGATGCTCCGTTGGGCAGGGTACCCAGCTCCTCAGCCTCCTCTTCCAGCCCTGAAACTTCCTCAAAGGGGTTTCGAGAGGACCTCAGGGGCAGTGTCCCCGCTCGGGACACCTTAGAGTCTGCCACCCCTAGACTCTTCAGAATGGGCATTTTGACAGGCAGGGACCTGGGAAAAAAACAATGGACCATCGATGGTATTGATGACAAGTGGTGTTGATGACAGTGCTTCTGTGCGCCTAGCATGGTCTGAGAATTTACCTCTTGAATCTGCAGCAATTTCATGAGGTGAGGACTATCATCATGCCCATTTTGCAGATGAGAAAATTGAGGCTCAGAAGGCATTTGCCTCCAGTCCCACAGTGATTCAGGGACAAAGTTGGGATTCTCATCAGACCTGTCAGATTCCAGATCCCGGGTTCTTTCCCCAGAGCATGGGCATTCAGACCCTTTCCCTACCTTGCTCCTGCCCTGGAGTGTTCAACATCTCAGTGGACCCTCCTACTTCATGAGGAAATAGGCTCAGAGAGGAGAAGCATCTTTCCGAAAGTGGCACAGCCAGCAAAGGGCAGAGAGTACATAGGGACCCAAGCCCCGTGCCACTGTCTACCCAGGCATCCAGTTCACACACTTGGGCACCTGCTTCCTGTCCCCTGTTCAGTTAGTACCCCTGTCCCCTCTGCCCCACCCCATCCATTCTTTCAGCCAACAGTTACTGGGGATATTCTTTGTCCAGAATACGTAAATCCACAGAGACAGAAAGATTCATGGTTGCCAGTGGCTGGGAGAGGGGGACTGGGGACTGACCACTTAATGGGTCCAGAGTTTCCTTTCAGAGAGATAAAAATGTTCTGGAACTAGATCGTGGCTATGGTCGACAACATTGTGAATGTAGTAGATGCCACTGAATTGTACACTTTCAAATGGTTAATTTGATAAGTTTTATATTATGTAGATTTTAA